GGCCAACGGATCCGAAGTATTTTGTGTAGACAACTGTTAATAAACACCTGTATTTTCTGGATGATGGCTTTCGTAGTTCTCCAAGATTCCGTTCCATACAGTAGAACTGTCTTGACATTTGTAGTGAACATTGTGACTTTGATGTTGGTTGACAGTGCTTTGAGTTCCAGATGTTCCTCAGTTGTAAATTGCTGTCTTGCTTTGCCGATCCGCCTTCACATTGCATCAGATCCACTGTTCATCAATGATGCTGCAATATGTAAAGGTTTTTACATCTTCCAAATCTTTCCGTCAATTGTGATGATTGGTGCATTCTGTGTTGTATCGGAGAATCTTGCTTTCCCTTTGTGTATATTGAGACCTACTGCTGCTGAGGCTGCTGCTACACTGTTCGTCTTCTCCTGCATTTGTTGTTGCGTTTGGGATAGAAGGGCCAGATCATCTGCGAAGTCTAGATCGTCCAACTGCATCTTAGATGTCCATTGTATCCCGTGCTTCCCTCAGATGTTGACGTCTTCATGCTCCAGTCGATCATAAGGAGAAAGAGAAAGGGTGAGAGTAAGCAACCTTGCCTGACACCGGTTTTCACTTCGAACGAGTTTGTCAACTATCCTCCATGCACGATTTTGCAGTGTAATCCATCATATGAATTCTGTATGATATCGACTATCCTCTGAGTCACGCCATAGTGTCGAAGAAGCTTTCATAGTGTTGTTCTATCCACGCTGTCAAATGCTTTTTCGTAGTTGATGAAGTTGATGTAGAGTGATGAATTCTATTCAATTGATTACTCCACAATGATCTGTAGAGTTGCGATTTGGTCTGTACACGATCTATCCTTACGGAATCCTGCCTGTTGGTCGCGAAGTTGGGCGTCTACGCAGTCCTTCATTCTGTTTAACAATACCCTGTTGAAGACATTTCCTGGTATTGAGAGAAGAGTGATGCCCCTGTAGTTATCACAGTTGCTGAGATCGCCTTTCTTTGGTATTTTGACCAGATGTTCTTCTTTCTAGTCTGTTGGTACTTGTTCCTCATCCCAAATCTTATTGAAGAGAATGTGGAGTATCCTTGCAGTTACCGCGACGTCTGCTTTTAGTGCCTCTGCTGGAATGTTGTCTGGTCCTGCTGCTTTGCCACTCTTGATTTGTCTGATGGCCATGCTGATTTCTTCAATTGTTGGTGGGCCAACATTGATTGGGAGGTTCGTGGGTGTTGCGTCGATGTTGGGTGGGTTCAGTGGAGCTGGTCGATTCAAGAGTTCTTTGAAGTGTTCTACCCACCTGTTTTGTTGCTCTTCACTGTTGGTGATTACCACACCTTCCTTGCTTTCACTGGTCGTTCTGGTTTGCGGCGATTTCCAGAGAGTTTCTTTGTCGTGTCATACAATTGTCTCATGTTTCCTTCTCTTGCAGCCTTTTCCGCCGCCGTTGCTAAATATTCCACATATTTACGTTTGTCGGTTCTGATGCTCCTCTTCACTTGTTTGTTTACTTCTGGGTATTCAGCTTGTGCCTTTGCTTTTTCTGCTCTTGTTCGACTGGTATTGATTGCTGCCTTCTTGTCCTCCTTTCTTGAATCTTATCCAGTGTATCAACAGTGATCCATTCCTTGTGATGGTGCTTCTTGTGACCCAGGACCTCATGACATGTTGAAGTGATTGCCTCTTTGATCCTCTTCCAGTTACTCTCTATAGTAGTTCCTTCTCCGTTGAGTAGATTTTGAAAGGCCTGTAACTTATTGCTGAGGACTATCTTGAATTTGTTGAGTTTGTTAGTATCCTGAAGAAAGGCCGTATTGAACTTTTGTGATGTTGTCCTCCCCGTTGTGCAGTGCTTCATGAGTTTCAATTTCATCTTGGCGACCAGAAATTGATGGTCTGATGCTATATCAGCTTCTCTCTTGGTTCTCACGTCCTCTATAGTCCTCCTGAACGTTTTGTTGATGCAGATATGGTCGATTTGGTTTTGTGTGGTGTGATCCGGTGAAGTCCATGTGCTTTTTTGAATGCGCTTATGTGGGAATATGGTGCCAGCCATGACCAATTTATTGAAGGCAAATAGGTTTGCAAATCTCTCACCATTTTCGTTTCTTTCTCCCAGTCCGTGTCGTCCCATGATGTCCATGTTGTCCGTTCCAACCTTGGCGTTGAAATCTCCCATCAGAATGGTCAGGTCCTTTGTTGGGCACTTCTCGACTATTGACTGCAGCCTATTGTAGAATTGATCTTTAGCGTCTTCATTGTAATCGTTGGTAGGCGCATAGCATTGGATGATGTTCATTGAAATGCCCTCTTTCTTTGTTTTGAAGGAGGCTTTGATGATCCTTGGTCCATGAGATTCCCATCCTATAAGTGCCTTTTGTGCTTGTTTGGACAGCATCAATGCAACTCCTTGTGTATGTGGTGCATTTTCTTCTTCATGGCCGGAGTATAACAGGAGCTCTCCTGTAGTTAGTTGTTGTTGTCCAACTTGTGTCCAATGTGTTTCACTGATCCCAAGTACCTCTAGGTTGTATCTTCTCATATCTGCAGCAATTTGGAAGGCTCTCCCGGTGTCCCACATTGTACGAACATTCCATGTACCTAAATAAATGGTCGCTCTGGTTGTCAGAAGGGGCATCGTCCTCGTAACTTCCGAAGGAATTCGGCTTTCATCATGAAGCGTCATAGTTCTTCTAAATGAAGACCTTCTGACTCCCGGGACAGAGTTTAAAAGGTTTGAATAATTTTTTCTGGTTAGCGTTTTTTTAGCGAGTTAGTTTTCTACGGGATGGGGACGCTAACCCCATGCCCAACTCTCCTCCAGGCGGAGTTAAAGTAAAATTACGGAATGAAATTAGTTAACTTCGACGTGATAAGCGTTTATTGATAAATAAATGTTCTTATAAGAAATTTTAGAGGTTGAAATCACGAGTCAATTGAAGCTAGACCACCATGGAAAACCTGGAAGCACTGGAAAACCGTTTCGTCCTAGTCTGGGACTCCTCAGCAGTGCGCATCCACGATCCCGCACTCCGCGGGATTCGAACCCAGGAATTTCTAAAAAATCTCCACACACATCTGATAATAATCATCTGCTTACTAGTGACTGAATTCAAGAGATACTCCTCGAGTTCTAGTGAGAAGCCGTTACCAGTGCAGTTCAACCAGGTCTGTTGTGAGATATCAGCTCACTGAACACAATGGTATATGGTGGCGCAACTTCGTGGATTGGTTGAAGTTAGACATTAACACCTTTGGATGCCTGTTCAGTGGTCTAGTGGTTAGGTGCTCGCGCGCGAAACCAGTAGGTCCTGGGTCCGAATTCCGCGAGGTGCGGGATCGTGGATGCGCACTGCCAAGGAGTCCCAGACTAGGACGAAACGGTCGTCCAGTGCTTCCAGGTTTTCCATGGTGGTTTAGCTTCAATTGACCCATGATTTCAACCTGTGAAATAAGTGTTTCTTATATAAGGAAAGCGAGAGTAGAATGTACATTTGGTATTTAATATGGTAAGTATGTACGACTGGCATACAAAATTTGAATTTCATCGATTGCCTATGGTATCTTACAAATTTTAGGAAGAATTAATTTCATTACTTAGTAAATTAATTATATTTTTCGGTTATAGATATTTAATTTTACAATTTTCTGAATTTATTTTTATATTGTAAGTTACTGATTACATAATGTTAATTGCTTTTCCATTTGATTTATACAAATCTAACTGTTGATCAATGTAAATAAATCATATATTAATCAGCGTATTCAAAGTTCATTCGACTTATTTTTTTGGTGTATGATAACTCTTCATTTATCTTTTTCACGTCCTTATTTGTATTGTGCAATTTTCAGTTTCCAGCCACAAATGCCAATTTTCCACAATTGCGTCCAAATGCCCTGGTAAGGCCGAGAGTGCGGGGAGTCCGTTCTTCCTCTCGAAATGCTCTCACATGGCCACGCGTATACAGCCACTACCAGCCACTACTCACCGCCTTCTTGAGGTGGGGGAGTTATTTACGAAATTGAGAGGACGGAAGGCGTATGTCCGGCCCTTTAACCGGATTGGTGGACACGCAGGGTTTACCTAGGAGAGTTGGAAAACCCTGATTCCAAATCAATCGTGCACACAGGCTCCAAGATCCTAAGGGAATAAATGGCGTATCAACCAGTTGTTGGTCACTGGCTACCATGGGACCGTAACTCTCGACGTCGCTCCGCTGACTTGTGGATCAAATCTTTAGGTCGAAGGCTCCGGGTGTGGCCCTTAAGAAAACCACCTGCTTCAGCTTGGGAACCCGGGCAGTATCACACAACACACACAAATCCAGTGACTTTTTGGCGTATATGTATTCAGTGCCCCTTTGTGCCGGTGTCCATCTGTTCAAATAAATAAATAAACACTTATATCGGATTTTTTTATTATAAATAAAAAAGATATTTTTGTTATTTTGGGTAATTACTCCTGACTTAGAATTCATTCATGAATAATTCGCTGTTTCAGTAAATGCATAATAATTACTCTGTTTCGGCTGGTGTTTAACAAATGTCTATCTCAGATGTATGTATTGAGTGAACATTTCAAAGACTATACTACAACATTTTCATCAATAATCAATCAATATTTTTATTAAACTATCAACATAGTGACAAGATAATGTACTGATCAATGTTGCAGTAATATTTAATTCCTTCAAGATAAAAATTGCCGAAGGTCTAGGGAACACCATATATATATGACAGTCAAATCCGAATGTTTACATTTGCTAGTTATATGAAGTATATATTCATGTAGACAAGGTATACAATATTATTTACTTAATTTTGAAGGAGTTTTGTTCTCTCTAGCTCACAGAACAAAACTCCATCAAAATCATCCATCTGAGCTACAAATCTTCTTCACCATCTCACTATTTACTTAAGTTCTGTGTTAACATCATTTTTGTACCTATATTTTTCGAAAATCATAGCTTTGTTTAATTTATTTTGCTTTATAAACATGTTTTTACATTATGGACAGATTTTTGACGACATATTACGCTTAATGTTGAATAATGCTCGTGGTCTTTTAGCCAGTGCAAATACGTGTCTTTCATTAAAACACGCTTGCAGTGGTTTAAATCAACCAAATAAATCAGCAAGACAATCCATTTTTAATTCAACTAATAAAGATGACTTACAATTACCAAGTCCATCAGATACATTATTAAACAATGTGCCTGTAACAAATCTAATATTTTTTTGTGAAAATGGTCGTGAACGAACAAGTTTGGCTATGGCTATAGCTGGGCTTATTCATTGCCATTTATTTGGATTTATGTTTGGTTATCGAGCTGAAGAAGAAGAACGTATTTCATTACGTGATGCAAAATACACCAAGGGCGAGTTTATTGTAAGTCTAAGTAAATTCCCATGAATTTTACTGAACAGATATTTTTAACGTAAAACCAAGTTACATTTTGAGATAATCTAGTTCAGGTGATGTAATAGCACTAATATATATATATATATATATATATATAATTGACCATCTAACGACTATTCGAACCTTTTCATACTTCTAAGTAGAAATTCATAGTTCAGCCCATATTTCCAACTTCAGTTAACTTTTTACATAGCTCAACCACTATACAAAAGAATCAATGAAAACTGTATTATTTCCGATATGAGTATACTCTGCCAACCAACACATCGCCAATACTTCTAGAATCCACCTATAACCTAGTTAGTATATGGTAATTAATTGTAATTAAGCTGGGATTATTTTATACGGTTCAATTTAAAGTCACTCTTTCCATTGCTCACTGTTTGACTTTCAACGATTTTTTTCTCATCTGACCTCAATGCATCTCAGTTCCATCTGGTTATAAATAGTCAAAATTAAAAAGAATCCTATTTATTATCAACTGTTCAGTAACTTTTCATTTCTAAAATGAATTTAAACAACTCATTAAATCATTATGTATAATAGTCAGATATTTTGAAACTGAACAGTAGAGTTGAAGTGCCATCTTAATACATAATAATGGACTTTTATTATATATATACATATATATATATATATATGTTACAACTGTGACTGCAGGTTAGAGCGAAGCGTATTATCGATCCGACCAAAGACGCGTAAAACACGTAAGAACGACCTAGAGTCCTAATTGGCCCTGCTTCCCTGTCTAGCCCAACCAGTTGAGTCCAGAACAAAAATCTCAGCCTCTGCAATATGAATCATTATATTTCAAGCATACTGAATTTATATACCAAACAAACCGACCACAACGTACCAATAAAATATGAACAACATTCATGCAAGAATTAGCCAGATGTGGCTGTGAATAAGGGAGGTAGCGATTAACAGATAGGGAATAATTCATGAATGGTAAATCGTATAATAATAGTTCATGGGTCAAAATAAAGCTTATAATAAAAGGAATATGATTATGAACAGTTTAGTTACATAACAATTATACGATAAAAATATACTCATAGTATTGGTCCATAAATGGATCCCAAAAATTACCATTCATTATTCTTATCGGGATACAACAATATATAGATGCTTAACTATATAATTAAGTTGTTAAAATCTATCGCAATAGATTTATTCATTTCTTTATTATAATTAATTTCCACTATGAATTCAAATCTTGGAATTGGAAGTTAACTAGTTCGTTAAATATAATTTTTTTGTACTAAGAGTTAATAAATATGACTTCGATAAATAACTAGTAACTAACTAACTGTAACATTGATTGACCTAAGGAACATTTATTCAATCTAATATTTAGAAGGGAACTACTTTAGAAAGTAAATCTTATATATCTTAACTTGATGAACATAATATGCCAATGATTGATCTAAATCGACTACTGATCATCATAATTTTTAAAATGATTTTTTCAAGACATATCAGAAAATCTATTTTCTCATAATAGAAATTATGTATTTATATGATTTTAAGGTTTGAATAGTTTTTTCTGGTTAGCGTTTTTTTAGCGAGTTAGTTTTCTACGGAATGGGGTCGCTAACCCCATGCCCAACCCTCCTCCTTTATCCGGGCTTGGGACCTGCAGTAGCCCCCGGAGGGACTCCATGCGGAGTAGTGATTTACTGATAATTCATGAAACAGTCTAGTTATTTCTTTAATCTTAATATATGGAAGTGATAAATTAAGTTTCGGAAATATTTTTGATCAAATGTATAAACCAAAATGTTTGAAATTACCCACAACGTATTTAATGGTCGTTATGTTGAATTCAAATTTTTTATCAGTTGTTTTTCTGTACATTTATTGACTGAAAGCTGCAAATATGTGCATTTTTATCAGTATAGGGGTTGTGGAGATGATTTAGTTTTTGATTGAGATTAGTGGAACTTATCCATGTCGGGTAGAGACAGGCATCTACCTCAGTATAATGGAAGATGGTCGCGGAATTTCGTGGATTGGTTCAAGTTAGACATTAACACCAATGGATGCTGGCTCAGTGGTCCAGGAGATTGAAAGCCCTGGATTCGAATCCCACGAACAAGATCGTGGATACGCACTGCTGAGGAGTCCCACAATAGAACGAAACGGCCATCCAATTCTTCCAGGTTCTCAATGGTAGTCTAACATCAATCGGTTCATGCATGATCTTTATCAAGTGCATTTTTGGTTAAGACTTTCATTTTAAATTGTAATCTTTACAACATTTGTATTCCTCATTCGTGATTTCAAATTATGTCATACTGGACATATTCATAGCAATCACTTGTAAATAACTCCAGCCCCTTACACCATTATGCGAAAACTATTTAATGCACAACTCAAAGTGTAATCTACTATACATGTAGTAAACATTGAATATATTACAGACAATTTCATTTAACGAAACTATTTCGATTGGAACTTATAAGTAATTAAGTGTCTAAATGGGTTGTTTAACAATTATTACTTATTTTCGTTTCTATTCATTATCATTGATGTTATTTTAATTTCATTATTTTCTTTCTAAATTACTAGATTATAAAAAAATTGATTCGTATGTTGCCAAGAGGTCATCAAATAAAACGTGAAGTTGATTATGTATTAGATAAATGTTATGAATCTATGTCAATGATGCATTTTCATACAAGAGAAGAAATTTACTTTACTTATGTTAAAGTATGATTTAATTATTTTGTAGTTATTATTTAATAAAAGAAAATATTTTATTAGATTTTTAATAGTTTACATTATTCCTTTCCTGTATTGTTCATAAACTTAAATAACTCCAGTAGTATTATTAGTTTAATGTATACTCAAAGGCTTTTTTTTCGCACTGACATTTTCCTCTTTAAAAGCTAATGGTAAACATCTTGTTTGATATGTAGAAACTCAAAGGTCATTCGAATGGTTATGATAATGTTCCATAGCTTCATTAAATGGGTATTTCCATATGTTCTCATTAATACGTTTAAAATTTTGGAATAGTGAAGGATATTTATAGCTTACTGAGAGTTGATTAGGGTTGCAGTTTTCTAGATGAATATTTAAAAGAGCTCGCTTTAAGTCAAATTAAGTACTGATAATTTTGTGTAGAACGGTAAAGAAAGTTTCTCAAACAAACCTTATGGATAATAGAACACCATACCATCTTTTTAATTAACATCAACCCAGACTTTGTAACAAGACAATTTATTGACATATTTTCCTAAGTCCTTTGAGCCTCGATTTACCTATATAGACTTATGTAATTGTTATCATTTGAACTAGTATCCAACATACATTGTGTATGTTAAGCGAATTATCAAGAGTTATTTGGTTAGAACATGACCAAATGCACTATATACATTGCTAGCTTTATGTAAAAACTCGGTCTTATTGAGAATACAATAGTCTCTTCAATAAATCATGTGTTAAGGATGAGCCAGTAGATCTTCCTTCAACTAATAATGGTCCTGAATGACAGGTTTTAGAAGATCTTGTTAGATGTTTTGTTTGATTAACAGATTTCCTGTATTTCTCAGACAGTATCTTTTCAGTTGCACTACGAAACGAGGTAAGTTGGTAAGAATTCTTTCCCCTCTGATCATGAGATGATCATGGTGATGACTGTTATATATAGATATCCCGAATGAAGAACTTTCAGTAAATATAACTTTTAGAAAAGGTAAACATATGCATTTCTCTTTCTGGTTGTACTGACAAAGTAATAAATTACGTAATTTAAATTTACACTACTGAAAGTAATTAAAGTAGTACGTTTCTCTACGAACTATAAAAAATGATTAGTATAAACTCCTAGTGTAATGAAGTCATAGGTGGCTAATCAATTTATGGGATTAAGCATAATCATAAAGAGCATTTATGAAATATGAAAACAATAAAATGAATACACCACTTGAATATCTTCGTTGAATTGTCTCTTACAAGCTCCATCGTTCTTTCATTATTGTTGTTACTTGGACTGCTTCTGTTTATTTTTTATTCTTCTCATATTCCTCTTCTGTTGGTCAGAATCATACTTCCAATTCTTGACAAACACTACTTAAATCCGTAAGTACAAGTAACACACATCACATTAGTACATAACTAAGATCTGAAATACTAACTATATTAAGAATTTGTATATAGTGATGGATTTGATGAAATTCTCAACACAGATATCCGTGCACTAATAAACAAAGAAGAAGTGTTTTAAAAACGATGACTAAATATCATGATGTTTAAATACAGTTTGATCAATTGGTTTGAATTAGAAAAAACGCAAATAATTGATCAAAGAAGTTATTTTCAACGAATTCTTATCAGATCCAAGAAGTTTACACATGTCTAGATGATCAAAAGAAAAATTCAAACTTGACAAAAATACTTTTCCCAATAAAATACAGAACATAGACAAGCAATCGTAAATTTTTCAAAATTACGGTTGTTGTTTATCAACTTTGATATGATTAATAATGTAACGATTACTTGAAGAGTGTCCTAGACGAGACAAATTTACTGATTTAGTTGAACCATATGAACTAAGGTCGAATTCTTCATGTTTGACTATCTAAAAGATGTTAATGAATGAGATGAAGGGAATGTTTGGTATATCAGTTAGCTTAGTAAATGAATACCAATAAAAGGAGTCATTATGTTTAATTTGTCTTTTAATGTCAATATCATCACCGGGTTCGCAAAAATGGATCACTTATATACCCCTTTATGGTACTATATACACGTCTTCAATAATGTTTCCAAATTTAATTTAGAAATATAACCGAGATATTATACTGAAACTAGCGTCTAACTAGTAAGTCATTATTTGATAGTAAGGATATTCGTTTTAAATTGCTATTAGAAACGTCTAAGTCCACCGAGTCAACTGATTACCTGCAAACAGTAGAGATACCTTGAAAGGATAGGTTATAATAAGTACATACATAATAAAGCATTAAACAGGATGATTCAACTGTTACAGTACTACAGCTAACTTAGAAATATTTGCCACTGGTAACTTAACAGATATTATTTGTTATTGTTAGGCACGAGATGAAAATGATCCAGAAAAGAAATTAAAACTACGTAAAAGAAGTTTAGCCTATTTGGAACGATACTTCTTTCTAATTCTCTTCAATGCATACCTTCATGATCAACAACCTAAACGGTGGAAAATTTCATTTGAAGTTTGGATTGAACACGTAAGTTGTTGGGTTTTTTTTAATTTTCAATTTATGAATATTGTTTACTACAGTGATTAATTGGAGCCATTTACTAAACATCCATTTTTGTGCAAATGAAACTAACGTTTACAAGAAATGAAAATTCCCGTAAAATTTTCAAAATTATTTCACTTGATATTGTTTACTTGAATCTTCCCATTGATATTTAGGACTGCGATTGATCAGTCTCTTATTGGCATATGTACATAATCTGCGTATTGCCTCAACATTGTCTTAAGTCAAAACTTTATAAGCAAAGATGGATGGTGGCTAGCAGTAAAATCCAGGACGCGCATTTTGTTCTATTCGGAACTCGTCAGCTGGACGTACCTGCGTTCGAGTTGGTGTTCACTCTGGGGCTCGAACCCAGTACCATTCGCTTCAAACGCCACTTAGCTACTGAGTCACGTTAGCCATCTGCTTGTGCAAAGGAGTGAATTTTAAATTCACTTGGTATTGTTGACTTGAATCTTCCCATTGATATTTAGGGCCTCAATTGATCAGTCTCTTATTGGTATATGTGCATACTTTACGTCAATAAACGTAATTAGCTACCTACAAATTTTTTAATCTAGTGGATATCACTTAGGCGCCTCTCCCGAAAGATGATAGGTTTATATTTCAGTTATATCATCATAGATTAAATGTACTAAAGTGCTTGAAGACATGAAATAAAATATTTATCCTAAAGTTCACCAACTGCTATCACTGAATACATAACATATTTATGTGGTGACAGATTTAATATACTACTTATGGTGTCAATCTTTAATATAAATCTGATTTCTATAATTAGTATAGGGTTGTGGAGATTAGCAAATTTTTGATTGAGATCATGAATCGATTGATGTTAGATTACCATTGAAAACCTGGAGGCACTGGGTGGCCGTTTCGTCCTATTGTGGGGCGCCTCAGAAGTGCTCAGTAATTAATACAATAAATTTATCACAGTTACTAATACCTGATTATCTTTTTAAAAATATTTTTTCTCACATTCTTACGCATTAATTCAGGGATTTGTTTAGTTTAATTATGTTACAGAAGTAAAAGACCAAATATAACAGTAAATAATAAATAACAATAATGTGATACAAACTATACTTTTTTTGTATCGGTATATTTTTCAACTATTTTACTACATATTTCCTTCATTGAAATGTTACCGTCGTTAATTTCTGAAAGGTTGATTGTTATTCAACTCAATGCATTAAAACATTTGGTTGTTATACTCGAATAGGATTAGATGCAATACTTAAACCTTTATTGTTTTATTTGATAAACTGTTTTTAATGAAAGCTTTCTATTATAGAGCTTAAGAATTTAACTTATCAGATTAACTCTAAGAAGTATAAAACTACAGAGGTAAATCTTCTGATAATTGATTACTATTGAACAATTATAAAAATAGTAGTAGTAGTAGTAGTAGTAGTAGTAGTAGTAGTAGTAGTAGTAGTAGTAGTATCTGTTAGATACATGAAGTGAAATTCATAAATCTAAAGTGAATGTAATTGAAGATGAACAAATTGAAAAGTAAATTAATCAACAACAAAAAAGGATAGAATGTTGTATTACACTTTCTAGATAATATTCTGTACACTGAAAGGTATATCATCCTTTAATTTTAATGTATAGCCATAATTATTAAAACTATAAACCAATCAAATATTTTTATCTTTTAATGAATCTATCAGAAGTAAAGCAAAGAAATCTGATATATATTCGTCACTGAACTCTGCTTTATTTAAGTTTATCAAAGGGGAAATTAGTTACATAAACTTTTTAGATTTCTTCTATTGACTTGACAACTGAAGAGTTTTTTTCTATTTAATTTTTAAATTAATTAGATATTTGTATTTTCTTTTGTTTTTCTGGTAATTTTGTTATTGATAATGCTATTATTATTATTATTATTGTAGGCTACACATCAAGTATACTTTATGGATATATTAGATAATTTTGGTTTTCCTGAATTTGAAGAACCAGATAAACTCAGACGTATTCGTGAACGTTGGCGACCAGATGGTTCAAAACATCCTGCTTTACTTGGAGATTTTACTTAATTCAATATTTTAATAACTAACAGCATACACTTTATAAATAATAACCATATACATATATATAAAACTTTATTAAATACATGTATTCATACATCTCTATTCTACCTTACAGAATGTTTTTTTAGATTATTTCTCAGTTTCTCTGTTATTTAAGTGTAGTAATAGAAAACATGAATATCTTATTATTTCTGTACTGTGTTTCTGTTCAAATAAAATACTGAATATATATATATATATATATATATATATATATATATATATATATATATCCATTGAAGTATCTATTTAAGCCAGCCCACAAAAGAATCTAATGCATTTGTGTCGAATGCACAAATATCCAGTTCATAAGAAAGAATATGCACCATTTAATTAAGTTTATTTCAACCTTGGTCAGGTTACATATCTACTTACTTATTTATTTACTTACGCCTGTTACTCCTAATGAAGCATAGGCCACCCACCAGCATTCTCCAGCACAATCTGTCCTAGGCCTTCCTTTCCAGTTCTGTTCAATGTTTGTTCATTCTTCTCATGTCTGTCTCCATTTCTTGGAGTAATGTGATCTCTGGTTTTCTTCTTCTCCTTTGGCATTAAGGATTCCAAGTGAGGGCTTGCCTTGTGACGCAGGTGGGTGCTTTCCTCAATGTGTGTCCTATCCACTCCCAGCACTTCTTCCTCCACTGGGATCTGGTTTGTTCTCTCCCATAGTAGGTTGTTGCTGACAGTGTCTGGTCAACGGATCCGAAGTATTTTGCGCAGACAATTGTTAATAAACAATTGTATCTTCTGGATGATGGCTTTCGTAGTTTTCATGGTTTCCGCCCCATACAATAGAACTGTCTTGACATTTGTATTGAAAATTCTGACTTTCGTGTTGATTGACAGTTGTTTTGAGTTCCAGATGTTCTTCAATTGTAGAGATGCTGCTCTTGCTTTGCCGATACTTGCCTTCAAATCTGCATCAGATCCATCGTGCTCATCAATGATACTTCCCAGATATGTAAGGGATTTAACATCTATCTTGCTTATATTTAATTATATTTAATATACCATTTCGGTACAGAACTTTTAATGTTTGTGTTCTTGGTATACTTAATTTAAAATATAATATTTCTTTTATTTATCTAAACAAGAAAATGATCATGCATTGAATACTAGATGAATTAAGTTAATATTGTAATCGTTGAGTAACATGGCTTAGAATAAGTCAAAATGGATCAGATTCATCTTGTAAATCTTGAACTTCTGCATTCCTTTATACACACCATACCACCCATCTTTTGGAATTATATTCTCAGTGTTTAGTCTTTTTTATTATCATTACTTCTATATTATTTCAACCAATTTGCTATCCGTTTTGTCATTTTCATCTCGGCATATACTAGTTATTCTGTACCAACCTGAGCTAACTCAAATCTATATCAAGCTCAATGTTGATGATTTCTGTCTATTTGTAAGACATTGTATTGTTTTCTGAAGACATGAAAACCTAGGTCAGGACAATCGATATTCAACATATAAACGTATGAGTATATCTAATCTCATGTAATGATGAAAACCCTAAGAGGAATTGAAACATTTCAGCTTATCTAAGGTCCTGTATATGTGTATATTATAATTATATTAGATGCTACAAAACCCGGATTTAGAACATCATATTGTTTAAGTTCATTAATCCAAAAGAAAATATGCCCAGATATACAACTAAAACAATTTCTCATACTTTTATATAATAATATTATTCAAACTAGAATACTTTCAAGACTATAATCTATAATGTACTCTCTATAGATTTTAGACTAGTCTTATGTAAAATACATAAAAATTTAATAAGTTTCGATTATTTTCACTAATAGACGATATGAAATAAATTCATGTACAATGAGTTTAGGTAAAAAAAGAACAAAAGATTTACAGTGAGAATATGAACAATCAGACATATTGATCTTTAGTAACCTTCACGTTTAACATAAGCATAATGTGTTGATTCCCAAATGCCCAATTTTCGATTACCTCTTTCCACCATTCCAGTTAATAAATAACCACGATAAAAATCAGCATCTATTATATTTGTAGTTAAAAATAAACAAAAATGTGGCATCTTTTGTTGTTTACCAGCTGAATCTTGTTTAAATTTCCCAGTGATAAACATTGAACCTTCTAATTTAGTAAATGTAACATGTCCAATAGTTTCATATCTTTTTGTTCCTCCACTAGTCATCTACAGCATAGAGATAAAATAATAAAGAATGATTTATTAATTATTTAAGTTATAAGTATCTAATCACTTCTGATTTCTAGACGGTTATACACCAGTACACTGGGTGATTTGAATAACTTACTGTTATTAAAGATAATGGACTCTATTTACTAATCAAAGAAGAATATATTAGAGTTTTCACTTTTAATTGTTTACACCCAAAACTGATTCCAATCGATTTGTTGACTAATCCCAACAACGGCTACTGATGTCATATCAGAAAAATAAAGAATAATAATCGGTTACATTTATGAGTACAAGATGTAATCTAATACAATGAAAGTTGTTGTCATCATTCATCTTCAGCTTATTGTTCAATTAATGTTGTAAATTGGTATCTTCGAGTTAATAGAACTAAAAATTTTGTTTTATAAAAATGGTCATATTAGAATTAATAACGTTTTCGAAAGAAATAACAGTCATTATTTACTCTGACCTTTACTGATATCATCGGATGTTGTTTACTTTTTAGTATTCATCAATTTCAACACAAATATTGGTAAAAACGGGCACTGAATACATATGCGCCACACAATTCATTTTATTTGTAAGTGGGTTGTGATATTGCCCGTGTGCCCAAACTGGGACAAGTGGTTTTCTTAGAGGGCCACACTTGACATAAAGGTCTGATCCACAAGGCAGTGGAGCGACGTCGAGAGATGCAGTCCCATGGTAGCCGGCGACCAATAATTGGTTCATACACTATTTGTTCCCTCAGAGTCCTGGAGCCCATGTGCACAATTGGTTTGGAATCATGATTTTCCAACTCCCCAAGATAGATATTCCGTATCCACCAGGCCGGTTAAAGCGTCGGACATCCACTTTTCGTCCTCTCAATTTCGTAAAAAACAGTCCCATCGCAAGGAGGCAGTGAGTAGGAATTCCCTGGTAGTGGCTGTATACGCGTGGCCATGTGAGAGCATTTCGAGAGGGAGAGCTGACTCTCCCCACCCTCGACCGTACCGGGGCATGATTATGTACACAGTATTTATGACCAATAAATCATGCTATATGATTTATATCTATATTATGAAGTCTGTTTGTGAATTTTGACTAAAGGTCTATTTCCGTGATCAGATTCACTAAGTGATGAGTGAATATTTTTGTTAGATTACTCTAATGACGAACTAATGAGGAGTGATGAAGACGATAAGAACTTAATAATAAATATCTTTGTGCAATCAATGTGACATAGCATGGAATTTAACTTATAGAAAGTGTTTGTTCCTTCTAGTGTGAATTTTATTTAAAGCTTAATGTATTATAAGTTTGTCCATGTTAAGCTTATTCAAAGTGAACTAATAATATGCTATCATTTATTCAGTAAATCATATGAATTCTAATATCCTAAAATTATCGTGAAACAGTCAGAAATTTTATCTGTACGATTGCTAAATCCTTACTTTGTATTATAGTTTCTAGAAACTTCCAGAAAGTTTGAGCAATATTGAAAAGTCCTCCTATATCTCATTACTACCCTTTTATCACCCGGATTCTTCCATGATATTGTACGTTGACTAATGTTTTACACTGTTTCGTCAGTTTTTTGGTCTATGTCCTGTATTTTGTGTGAAATCATTTGTTTTCCATGTTACTTATATCACAAAGGGATCTGAGTCAAACATCCATTGTGAATTAGGACCCACTGGATAGCTATTTCTACTTAGTACGAGACTCCTCAGAAGTGTACACTCATGACCCTATCGAGGATCGAACTCAGTAACTTTTGCCTCACAGAATATTATTAGCTTCTAAACTGTTGAATTAGCATCCAGTGGTGTACATGTCTAACTTCAATGAATTCATAACATTACGTATCTTCCAAACAATTTGAAAACAACGGCACTATACCTGACACATTTGAACTCTATTACTAAAATTGATTCACATACTAAAAATAAAAATAATTCACCAATCAAATATGAACAGATAAACACTTTTCTGCTTTTGATATTGAATATTCATATAAAAATAATACTAATTTACTTGAATGACTTTACACCAATTTCTTAGAAATCGATTGAATATTAATAACCATTTTGATTCAGAACTTGGATACGGCCAATTTTCACATGCTTCCAATTGAACTATAATTTTTTTCATACCATTACGTAATAAATGACTACAAGGTATTCCACGATTTTCATAATAAAAAAGTTGTACCATGAAATGGTTATTTTATTTCGATTAAATCTAATAATAGTTAAAATGTAAAGAATCAAAATATATTCTTAAACAATCTAGCACATACTCAAATAAAATAAAATAATCTCAAGTAATCAGATAAAAGTACAAGAACAAAAAGCATCTATTTGGCAAAGATAGATGGTAGCTATTAGTGGAGTCCAGGACGGGTATTTCATTTTATTTGGGACTCATCTGCTGAATGTACCTGCATCCTAGAGTTGATGTTCAGTCCAAGCCAACAAGAAAAAACAGAAATGTTAATTTCAATAGTTGAGATCATTAGTCAAATGGATCTAGACTACCATGGAAGCACTGGACGGTCGTCTCGTCCTACTCTGGGACTCCTCAGTAGTGCGCACCCACGACCTCGCCTACCGGGTTTCGAACCCAGGACCTACTGATCCCGCTCCCGTGCGCTTAACCACTAGACCACTAAGCCAGTATCCATCGGTGTTAATTTCTAACTTCAACTAATCCACAAAATTGAACGACACATCCATCATTGTCATCAGTGAGTTACTATCTCACAACTGATCCAGTTGAACTCCACTGATTGTTGCTTCTCACTAGAACTCCAGGATATACATCTTGAAGCCAGTCGTGAATACGCACTGCTGAGGAAACCCATAATAGGATGAAACAGCCGTTCAGTGCTTCCAGGCTTTTCATAGTGGTCTAACTTCAATTGATACATGATCTCAACTATTAAAATTACTAAAGTCTCCACAAAAGCCCTTCTGATAGAAATGTTAATGTCTAATGAATTTCATTTAAT